CGTAGACGGCCATACTGTGGGGATGGGGTTCCCCAGTATGGAGGCTCACGGACAGACTCTCACCGCGATCAGAGCAATCGAGAATGTTTTTCATCACAGATTGAAGCTGTCTCTCTCTGCTTGTATCTGTTCAATGATCTGAAAAGCTCGGCTCTTTCTCTCTCTCCAGCTCCCGTTCGCTCTCCTTTCTTCTTCTCCCTCTCAAATTAAAATTCAGATCGCTTCTCCAGCGTTTGAGTGATATCAAGACTGATATCTGTCCCTTTCCCTGCTCCCTGTTTTAACTCTCTCCCCCTCTTCCCTGTCTCTCTCCTCTCCCTTGTGCCCCTCTTCTGTGCCAGCCAACCTGGCGTGTACAGACATCACCTTCCTGGTGTGCTGCGTGCCCTTCACTGCCACCCTGTACCCCCTGCCCAGCTGGATCTTCGGGGAGTTCATGTGCAAGTTTGTCAACTACTTGCAGCAGGTACCCCTCTGGGCCAGCGCAGCCTCGCCCTCCTCTTCTACAGGAGTGTGGGGAGCTGTTGATATTTCCTTTTTACTTTAATATTCATTGACCGTTTAGAATTGCCAGTCTAATCACAGACCCTCTCCTCCTCACGTAACACAGGCACACACACACACACACACACAGACCTGCACACACATCAAAACACACACATGCACAGACACGCACACACATCAACACACACGCACAGACACGCACACACATCAACACACACATGCACAGACTTGCACACACATCAACACACACATGCACAGACACGCACATACATATACAAACGCACAGACTTGCACACACATCAACACACATGGATACGCACACACACTAACACAAACAGACTTGCACGCACATCAACACACACAGATAGGCACACACATTAGCACGCACACATATATGCACACACATCAACACACACATGCACAGACTTGAACACACATCAACACACAGATATGCACACACATCAACACACACAGATATGCACACATAACCATGTCTGCACACGCTTGGACAGACAAACACAAACTCTCCTGCACAGACAAGCACTCACACACACACACATCCATACACCCCTGCATGGGCAGACAAACACATGCCTGCACATACACACACATACATACTCACCTGTACATTCACATCGGTGTGCACCTGCACACACGCTTGCACAGGCAAACACTCACACACACACACATCCATACACCCCTGCATGGGCAGACAAACACATGCCTGCACACACACCTACACACTCACCTGCACACACACGCTTGCGCAGGCAAACACACAGATATGCACTAACACTCTCCTGCACAGACAAGCACTCACACCTGCACACACATCCATACACCCCTGGGTGGGCTGACCAACACACACGCCTGCACACACATACACACTCAAACACACCGATGCGTTCATACTCTGCAACACAGTGTTGCACAAGCAGGACTAATGAAAGGACAGGCACTCCTCTCCCCCTCCAGTCCTCTACTGCTGGCAGTGCTGTATCTGTTTAACCCTCTCCTGTCCCTCTCTGAAGGTCACTGTGCAGGCCACCTGCATCACCCTGACGGCCATGAGCGTGGACCGTTGCTACGCAACCTTATACCCGCTCCAGTCACTACGGCGCCGTACACCACGTGTTGCCATGGCAGTCAGCGTTGGGATATGGATCGGTGGGTATCTGGAATGTCCATCACTGGGTTGGGTTTTTTGTTCGTCTCTGCTGCTTCTCTCAGTTGAATTTCAGCTTCTGGCCTTTGGCGGTTTGGCTCAGAACGTGAAAACAACAGAAGTAAAGGTTGCAAAGGCTGGGCTTTAGACGGAATAGTTCAGTCCATGTCGTTCGTCACACTGGTTTGGCTGTTAGTGCTGGTCTATATGTCAGTAGCTCCCCCAGGACGTCTCTGTGTATTGTGGAGAATCACAGCGATTGTTCTTCTATACGGAGGAGACTACGAGAGGACCTGGTTCAACTAAGGAAAATCCTCAAAGCCACTAACAAAGGCAACCCAGTGGAAACTACGGAGAAGGGCAATTAAAACCGAGACAGGAGGCCCTTCTTTACACAAAGCGTTGTGGGAGTATGGAACAGCTTGCCCATGCTGTTGAACCTGATCCCCTGGCTTCTTTCAAGAAGCAGCTGGATGAGATCCTCAGATTAATTAGCTGCTACTGTAACTATCAGACTGCCTTGTCAATGCCATTCATGGCTCTTTGAGAAAAGAAAAAGCCTCCTACTGGCATTTATAAATACCCCTCCCTTATTACCATTCAGGCATCCTGGGGTCCCAAACTCCAGGCCTGATCTTTCGTTGCAGCACAGCGTTGTCTGTGCCTGTCTAAGTCCGTGAAGTGCTCTGTGGAAAACTGTTGTTACTGGCGCCGCAGCAGATAAAGAGCTGCTTGAGTGAAAGCCAAGAGGACCCCAGTTGTTGGATGCTCCTCCTGCACTGGTGGGATTTTGGAGGTGCTTGGGGATTCCTGGGGTCGGTACTCTATTCCCCCGACGTCCGACCCCTGACCTCTGTCTCCTTCAGGCTCCCTGCCTCTGTCGCTGCCCATGGCCCTGTACCACCGCATCGAGGTGGGCCTGTGGTACGGCCTGCGCACCTACTGCACGGAGAGGTTCCCCACCGAGGGCCTGCAGAGAGCCTACATCCTCTACACCTTCCTGGCCGCCTACTTGCTGCCCCTCCTCACCATCTGCATCTGCTACACCGTCGTGCTGAAGAGGGTGGCCCGGCCCCTGGTGGAGCCCGCTGACCACAACTACCAGGTAACCGCGGACTGACCGCCAATGACGCGATTAGAGCCCACCCACCCTCGGTGGTCCGCATGGGGACTGCTCCGCTGGCAACTAGAAGTTGACCAGCACTGCGGACGTGAGACTAAACCACATCGAGCAGACCTAGCCATGCAACTGTTGATCTGATAACTCGATGGTTACCAGAACCTCTAACCTGGTAACCAGAGACTAAGCAGTGATGATCAGATCTCACCATGTGACTACTAATCTGGTTACTAGAGACTGGCCTGAGCTGCTGAACAGGTAACTAGATGGCTAGGTACTGATTGAGACTCTCAACTGTATTTTAACAGAGTTTGATCAGAACTAAGCATTATTGGAGGCTAAACTGGGTTAACCAGGACAAACTGGAGTCAGTCATTAATTAATCAGCTAGTCAGTAGCTAATCAGATGATTAGCCAACCGAGTAGGTAGAGCCTAACCCGACAGCTGGTTACTGCGCGAGCCGGGATGCTTGGGAACTGACCCGGTAGTTCTCTCCTCCTCCACTCCTGCAGCGGGTGCCAGGGCTGTCGGAGCGCTCGGCGGCGATGCGCGGGCGCGTGACGCGCATGGTGGTGGCCATCGTGCTGCTCTTCACCGTGTGCTGGGGCCCCATCATGCTGTTCATGCTGTGCCAGGGCTTCTACCCCGGGTTCCAGGTGGACTACTACACCTACAAGATCAAGACCTGGGCCAACTGCATGAGCTACGCCAACTCAGCCCTCAACCCCATCGTCTACGCCTTCCTGGGGGAGAGCTTCCGCGCCTCCTTCCGCAAGGCCTTCCCGCTGCTCTTCCGGCGACGGGTGCGGGACGGAG